CCTTTCTAGCTTCATGTTCTCATCATACTTCCTTGCACCCTACAATCCATATGCATTTAACTTTTTAGTACGCCCTATCAAAATCTGTGGCATTTGTAGGTGGTTCTTTTGAGTCTACAGTGTCCTACCTGAATAAAACTTCTAGATGCTTCAAAACAGTTCAAATGTTACCTTCCTATGAAGTATTCTTTGACTGCCCTAGACAATGATACCCTACAAAGCATTGTTAATAGTCCTATTATAGCACTGTTACAGTGTATAACAGTCTCAACTGAGAGCTGAGCAGGAACAGGAAGAAGCCTCATGTTAGCAACCATAACACCACAATGCCCAGCCCCAGAAGGGGATCGATTCCTGTTTACTAAACCACACTTACCACATACATTATTACTTTTTTAAAGTAAATGCAAATTGAGTTTAAAGTTAGAACAGTTGCATGTTTAGCTGGTCAACCTGTCTATAATCAATGTGGCAGACTTCAGGTTGCCCACACTGACCTCTGCACCTCCTGGTATCTACACCTTTCTGTCTAGAGTGTGAACAGGATCCCTGACTTGCTTCTAACCAATGGAATGCAGCCCACGCGATGGGCTGTATGTGCTCACATGTACATACTTACATAAGAGTGCAGCAACAGCCCATCTTGCTAGGCCCTCTCTGCTGGCTTTGAAGCAGCAAGGTATTCTGAGCTTTAAAAACATGAGAAAATGAATTCTACCAACAACGTGAGGGAGGAAGGGAGCTTGGGAGCAGACCCTATCCCCACTGAGTCTCCAGATATAACCCAGTTCTCGCCAGCTAACACCTTGATTACATTCTTGCAGAGATCCCAAAATAAGCTGCACCCAGACTCCTGACCCACAGAAACTATGAGATAATCAATATGTGCTCTTTTAAGCAGCTGAATTTGTAGTAATTTGTTAATAAGCAGCACATAAAATAACAATCAGAACTTAAGGTATTTCTGAACCTTTTGTTCACACAAAGGGCATGTTTTCCCCAACTTCTAAACTGTTAAACTTAATTCACTAGTTAATACCAACCAAGTACATGCAAAATTAAAACATTTAGGATGTACTTTGGTACATAAAGCAGTTCCTATACTTCTCTTTTAACCCATTTGCTAATATACCCATTTGTATATGAAATAAGTATAACACTAAGGTAATTCTCCTTATAAACACAAGCTGGTATCTAATTAACGGTATTGGTAACCAGAAAATAAATAAGAACCTACTTACTGATTATCATGCAAAACAATCAAATTGAAGGGGGCTAGAGACAGCAGAGCTCTTAGTGGCTAGGTACTTAGGTCAGGCAGCTCTCATACCAGATGATGCCCAGTGTAACACAAACTACTCCTCCCTCCAGCCCACCATCCACTTTGCAGTCAAAAGAACTTTCAAAATATTCCCAAAGCAGAAACTTCCATGATAGAGTCCACACTTTCGCATAAGAAAGCAAAAAACACAAGGTATCTCCTGGGTTTAAAGTATGTGGAATTACAAGTAAGAAACACTAATCACCAGAGTTCTTGTTGTTTTGGGGGAGGGGTAACAGGGGTTGTGGTTAGAAGTGTCATTTTCTTCTGTCACACTCCATAAACGACTTCCATTGAATAAAAAACATTCAGGAATAGGAAGCAGGTTAATCATAATAAACCTACATCTGTCTTGAAGATTAAGAGAAATAAGTCTGCCTAAAAATACAGATTTTATTTAACATACTCAGCTTTAAGAGATAACCCATACTCCTTCAATAAAAGGAAGCATGTTTCTTAGGTAACAGGAGGCACCTGAAATACTCAGGGGCACACCACACCTAAAAAACTCAAGCCAATCAGGAGAAGGTCAAAAGCAATCCAGTCCCACCGGTTAACTGTCTAGATTAATTCATTTTACATTTTCACTCCCAGACTCATGAATATTTTATGAGAAGTCCACAGAATTTCTCTAGAAATAATCTCCATGCACCGGTATATTTTTATAGTTCAATTTACCACCCAATCCTTGCTGGATCTTAAAGACTGGATCATTAGCACCCATAAGAATTACTTTTATGAACATTAGCAATTTGACAATGGAAAAAAATGTAGACATAAAATAAAAACAAAATCCTGTGAGATACCACTAAACTTCTAAGTATTAGACTAAATATACCCTTAACACATGTTTTAAAACAAAGGTGATAGACAAAAGGCATTTGTTCACTTTAACAATATTAAACTCAGCAGTCTGAAACTAACAAAAACCAAGAAAAACCTACCTCACCTAAAAGCTCCTGTGTGTATTATAATTATGTTCTGATATCCAACAACTCAGTTCTAGGAAATTTCTGTGAACTAAAACATCTGGATTAAGCACCTCTCTACTGGTTCTCTCGAGAGAATTAAATGAGCATATGGAGCCAAAATATATGTGCGAGAGAGAGCACAACAAACCAACACAGAAAACCTCATTCAATTTGGTGATTCATTATGATGGGTCTGAGCAACAATTCACCTTGCTAGATTCCTAAATTAAAAAACAAAAAACAAAAGCAGTACTGGTTTAGGTTTTCCTTTTCTATTAATTACCTAACAGCCCATAAGAGAATGATAATTTTGAATCTTAATAATACCGTATTTTCTTATTAGGAGATATGAATGCAAACTTATCAATTAAGATAAGTTTTACAAAATTACAGCAATAAATGTCCACTAATTCTGAAATATTCCTTTTCTCAATATTCAGATAGTTACTTTATATACGCATAAACATTTGTACAATCTGTAACTGAATAAACATATTAATACTGCAATACATGCTAAAACATTAAATCAATGTGAAGTATAGTCAAGTCTAATTTCTAAAATAATAAGAATTATCATCTGGCTCCCTAAACCTTGGGATGCTGAGAAACATGATCTGTAAAGTTTCCCTGACAAACCCACCCTCTGAAATAGAGGTAAAAACCTCACCGAAGCAAATGTCACTAGAAAGATGATTTTTAACATCTGTATTCTATCTCCTGTCTCCGCTAGGATTTGAAGTACAAATACTTTGATCTACTCCCATCACATAACTGGAACAGGTAATTTCTCTGATCCCCTTCCAGCCTTTCTCAACTGATTATTCAAGTTTTCCAAGAATCCTTCTAAATGAATAGAAGTTAACTGCATACAACAGGATGCCACAGGACACCAGGGCTCATTCTCTAGGACAGGGTTAAGAAAGGCGGCCATGAGCTCTGCTACTAGGCCCCACTTACCCCAACCACGAAAGTACCTACAGAACTGAGGGCACAAATCTAGACTGAGATAAGAGGAGATAAATGCGTCACCTCCCTAACTTGCAGCCACTAGGCCCTTTTCACTTGCTAATTTACTATAAATTAACAGCTCCATCGTCAACTATTTGTCCTCTGCTCTGAGCAGAACGTACTTTAAGAAAATAAACTCATACAGATATACTGACTCTTTGTTAAAGGATACCAGCCCTTAAAAGTAAAGACAGTAATCAGTATGCCAGAGAAATAAGAACTATTAATTTGACAGGCCTTTTCCTGGTTCCCCTTCTTTAGCAAACTTTTAAACATACTTCTTTTGATGGTCATAACTGCTAAGGGCAAATTTTCATTTTAAAAAGATACATATTTTTAAAACCCTTTTATTATTGAACTAACCTCCCATTCTTAAGAAACTCTCTTGTTATGCTTCGCCGCGGCGACTCCAGTACCTTCAACTGTTAATTATAATCAAATCTCAGGAAGGAAAACACTAGTTCTTTTTCTCAAAAACCAAAGACTTTTTTAACTGGCCCAATTTTAGGAAATGTTAATATTTTTATTTACAAAGCAAAATGACTTTATAACAATTAAAATAAGGTAAAGAGTTGTGAATGTGCAAAGTATTAAAAAGGTGGAAAACAGATGAAACACGACATTCCCACTTTTAATTTATACTAACGTGAAGGCTGACAGTAGGACATCAGCACAGAGAGATGAGTTCCTGAACGTCCCTCCCATTTCTCACGTTTATAAACTGAGTGAAAGGGACCCGAGAGAGGAGGGACGGCGCGCTGCGGGACCCCCGGCGGGGGGCGGGGCCTCCCCAGTCCCCTTCCGCCCGCGCGGACGGGACCCCCGGCGGGGGGCGGGGCCACCCCAGTCCCCTTCCGCCCGCGCGGACGCCGGGGCGGCCGCATAGGCTC